TCTCTCTCTCTCTCTCTCTCTCTCTCTCTCTCTCTCTTTCTTCTTTTTCTAACCCTGCCCCGCAATCTGGCCGAGGGGGCGAGTCGTATTCGCTGAACAGGGGAAAAAGTTGCCAAGGAAATCCCTCGTTACCTTCGTTCTTTATTACACGGCCGTGCACGCGTATTTTTTTTCCTTTTTTCCTTTCCTTTTTTTTTTTTTTCGTTCGATATCCTCCGAACAAGCCGGATCGTGCCTCAAAGGAGGAAATCCTAATAAAAAGCAAGCGATGGAACGGAAACGAAGAAAGTTAGGGGTCCTTGGAGAGGGAGTAAGACGCGGAGGGGGTTGAGAGGGTGTTCCTCCACCCTTTCTCGATGCTCGTAGAAATTCCGTTCTACCACGGGCCAAAACGCCGTAAGCAAAGTGGCACACGCCCCCGCACAACGCCCGTACATAACCGTGGCTGTAGATAAGGCGTGTAATGTATCCTCGCTCGTGGAATGAAAATTTATGCCACGAGTGGCTTTCGTTTAAATTCTCGTTCGATTTTCATTCTTTTTTCTTTTACAGGGACAAAGTGTTCAGGCTGAATTTGAGCAACATCAGCCATTCCAACTGCGAGGTGAGTATCAATCAAGAAAATGTATTATTACACATTGATTTATAGTTGTCCTTCTTGGAAATCTCTATTATTTATTTGTTTCGAAACGAGCAAATTATATATTGATTTTATTGATTTTATTCAAAGGATGAAGTATCGCGTGGAATTTTAAATATTGAAATACATCTTGGAAAAAAAAGTATTAGATTTAGAACCAGGAAGGGTAGCGTGAAAGTGAATGAAAGAATTATCGATGAAAATATTTGTATTTGATTGGTGTTTTAAAAGCATTGTTTTAAATATTATAACGCGAGATTATATATGCAAATTTTTGTTCACTTTGAGAGGATGAAATGGATATTTAAAGTTTTAATGGTTTTCATCGTTTTTTAAATACGTATAAACTTTATGCTATGAAATAGAGCAAAAACTTTAAATATATAAAATGTTCGAATTTAACGTTCTTTGTTATTCTTTGTTGTAAAAAAATATTTTCAGGCGAAGTTGTATTTAAAAACGTGAAAGACTGCTGAAATTCTGAGGATAAATTTCAATCACCTCAAAGAGATCTTCCCCTGACAAAAATTCTTCTTTGTATTTATTCCACAGAGACACGAATTAAGATTTTCAGAAAAATTAGATATATTTTATCGCATTTAATTTTCATTTCGCGAATATATCCAACTGATAATTTCAAATTTATTGTTATTAATATTTAATCCATATTTTAATAGTGGTAGATTGTAAAGATTGCTTATTTTTTATGACTTTGGTAAATGGTTTATTCGTGGTTGAATTATTTTTTAAATGGATCATTTTTACTGAAATATTATCCTCTCTCCTCCGTTGGAATAGTTTATTACCGGTAATATAATTGACAATTTCTGGAATTTTATATGATATTAAAGTTTCTGATCATAGTGTCTAATAACTTTTAAAGTCAGTTTCAAAAGTTTCACGATGGAAGGAAGTAAGTTGCAGTGAAAAGTTTAAAACACTCTTAGAGTGATCAAGTATTATCTATAGTAGCCATGAAAATGAAAAGAGCCCTATAAAAAATTCTTCTCATGAACGAAAATGATACTCTTCACACAATTATTAATGAAGATGATTAAATGATCTTACAAAAATAATTAACATATTAATTACTTCCTTCTTCACTGGATTACTTTAAATTTTCCAAAAAACCAATCTCAAAAATGCAATTAATTGATACTAACACCAATGCAACTTTATATTTAATCGATTCTTAAAATCGATCGAAAGGATCGCTCCATTTTTCAAAACAAACACGATATCAACTTCGTTTTCACGAAACTCTCCATCCCTTTCTACGCTCATCATTTTACCCCCTGTTGTTGTTCCTGATGGATACACGCAGGGATCGCACAGCTGGCGAACGAAACAACAAAAGTAGTAATTTACATTTATAACCTACGTCCGCCTCGAATTCAAGTTGGCGCAATAAAAGTGAATCTACATGCAGGATCTTACTCGAGACATTCCTCGCGCGCCATTTTGCGCGAATCGACCATGTGCAACCCTCTCCTCTCGAGGGAATACTTTAATTCTCTTGGAATACGTATTTCTAAACACTTTTTAATATTTGTTCCTTTACGTTGTTGTCGCAATAAATCTAATAGTTTCGATTAAAAATCTCTTATATTTATTAACGATTAATTTAACGATAATTACGAAAATCTTTCGATTTCTCTACTTTATTCGAGGAGAGGAATCAGATGGAGATTTTTACTATTTGGGATAATAAAGAAAAGAGATCAATATTTCAAACGTCCAGTGAGAGTTCATTTTTGGAATTCATAAGATTCTTATAAAATTCCACAAACACATGTTTCTATTTCCTTTAAAAAAAAAAAAAATAATTCATTCTAGGAAACGTGATAACACCCTCCTAATTCGAACAAACAACGAACAAGCGTACCGAAACCACCTTCTGTCGCGGCATCACGCTTCGATTAGCATCAAAAAATGTCGTGTAACGCTTGACCCCTTCCTTCCTCCCCTTCGACGATAAAACTTCGTTCTGCTCGTAAATCCGAAAAACGTTCTTCGGCGCTCCCCATAAAACTGTCAATCATAACGGTCGAAACGTCGCCTACATCATCGCGACAGCTGACGACTCTCCGCTCTCCTCTAAGCGATCCATTGTAGACGAACGGTGCGTGTCCCGATTTTTCCACGCACTCTTTCACCACGCTTTTCTTCCATTCCGGTTGGATAAATACACGCGAGTCGCCGAACGAAACGTTCGAAACAATCGACATTCAGCTTAATGTACGCCAGCTTCGAAAATGGACGTCATGGAGTGAAATTTTTGTAAAAGTTTTTTTTTATTTTTGCAGAGAGATCGCGTATTTTTTTTTTTTTTTTTCCCCCGATTTTACATTGTATATCCGATATCACGTGCGATGAGAGGGAAGTTTAGTGTGTTGGGGAGAAGAGGGATTTTTTTTTAGGGGAATTTTGATACTTTGGCAAAGTTGATTCGGTTGAGCGTTGTTGGATCGTATTTGTGTTTGACGTAGATCGTAAATAAACAAACAAGATTTTTAATATCTTGACATATATTTTATACGATAAGAATAATTAGATTCGTGTGGATGTTAGTTCAATTAATTCGATTATTTGATTATTAAATTTATGAAAATATATCTTTATCCCCCATTTATTACAATTGAAAAAGAAATTATCAATTAAAATTGCTACCATCCACACGCAATAATCCACGAGATCCAAATTTTCTCCCGTTCAGAAATTTCTCTCGCTAAAACTGATTCCAAATTCAATTTTTCCTATTTAACGAAATGGAAATTTCTCCATCTCCATCCTCTTCAAGAATAAAGCAGAGTTGATAAAGAAGGGTGCATGCAGTAATGCACCCTAATTCGGTACAAAACATAATTGCACCAACGAAACAGTTACAATCTCCTTCACGCGTCGCTTTGAAATCGCGTGCACGCCCGTTCGTTCGTTCGGCTGGAATCCTACGCATCTCGTTCAATTTTTCGCGCGCTCAGGTGCGCTTCCTGTTGAGCGGCGCCAAGCCTCGCCGCTCGTTTTCCACGATCCGTTCGAACGAAGATTGAATCGGAATTGCTTTGTCGAAACCGACGTAGGCGATAGGTAACCGTGGTCGCCTGCAGTCCGATCCCGGCGGCCAGGGAAAGGAAAATTGCTTTTTAACCCTGTCCAACTGATCGCGAGATGGCGCCACTGTGTGTCGGCTGCAATGGTTTTTAGAAAGGCCGAAATCTCGTTCGCGCGTCTTTTTGCCTTCTTTCCGTCGAAACGTCTCCATCGAGATTCCCATTAACTCTCTCATTCCGCTCGTTTCCCGACCTCTTCCTCGTTTCTGCCTGTCCTTTTGTCCATCTACTCGGATCGACTCTCTATCTCGAACGGCCAAACGGTTTCACTTTCGATTCGACTTGGGATGGGAAGTCCGACCCGACGAGAGAATAGATTTCTCACAAACGACGTTTCACCTCGATTGTTGTTGATATTGGACCGTTTACTGTTATCGAATTATCTTGGACGAGTGTCTCTGTTCCGTTTCCTCGAATTGTTATTTCATGAACGGTATCATTGTTATCGTCATGTTATTGTTCCTTCTTAAAAATTATTCGAAAATTATTCTTGGAAGAACGAACAAAATTTCATAGATAATTTATATTTATCTACGGTTTTAAATTAAACAAGTTACATCAATACAAGGTTCCGTGATTTTCTAAAAGCGCGTGGAAAAAATCCATCTCGAGCGTATGCATCAAAGCTGCCAAGTTGGGTGTCCGAGAAAAAGAGTTAAACAACTTTTATAGCCGATGGAAAGATATCTATGCGCTCATCATTTCGGGATTGAAATACAAATACACCCGAGCCACGCTCGATATCCATCGTAACATAATCATCTTGTAAAACAATATTTCCCCCGTCACTCGCCGTTCCAATCGTCACGTCAATTTTCCCCTGGAAAAATTTCAATTTCCAAACCCGTCCCGCACAAAGCGAGCCGGGATTAAGAACCATCGGCGTGTGACAGGCGCGAGAAACACGATACGCGGCTGTTTTACGTGGATTCAATTTACCATTCGCGGGCCAGGCCGCCCGCCGGCCGATCATAATTAAAGAAAAAAGGCCGTGCTGGAAACACGATCCGCACGATGCCGCTCCATCGAAAGAACGAAACTCGAGCGATGAACCCTTTTTTCCGTATGCCCGTCCACTGATCGGCCGTTGTTCTCCGCTTTTAAATTATTTTTTCGTGTCCTCGCAATCGTCACATCTGGCCGTACAGGCGAATGGGAAAAATGGAGGGTTGCCTCTCTCTCTCTCTCTCTCTCTCTTC